AGCCCAGCTCCAGGTTGAGCTGTTGTTCAGCATCTTAGCTGTGGAGGGCAGTGTCACTGGCCCTCATATGTGGGATCCGAACCGGGGCCCTCTGGCATCGCAAGCGAGCTCTTAACCATCGCGCCACTCGGCCGGCCCCTGAGGTAAAATTTTTTAAATGAGAATTCCAGTGCTGTTAAAGTTGTGGTGAAATGAGCACTTTTATATACTGCTTTGGGGAGCATAAATCAGTGCAGCCTTTCAGAAGGATATTCGACTAAGTATACTGTGACCTTTAGAAGTGTTTATATTCTATGGTTCAATACTTTCAAGTAATCTGTCCTGAGAGATTATATATTTGGATAAATAATTATAAATAAAAAGTTTCATCTCAGCATTATTTGTAATACCAAAGAAAAAATTGGAAATAGCTTAAGTATATATTATGGATGGAATAAGGTTAAATAAATTTATACATTTAATCAATGGAATATTATATAGCCATTCAAATGTTTTCAAGTAATATACTTGGGAAAATGTTCAGCATATAACGTTAAGTGAAAAAAAGCTGGATATTAAAATATATGCAGAATGCTGATTCTGTAAAACAGTACATATGCATGCAGAAAAAGTACCAAAATATTATGGATTAGTTATTGCTGGGTATTATTAGTCACTTTAATCTTCTTCCTTACTCCTTTCTTATTCCAGCATCTTTGCAATGATCCTCTATAACATTGACATGTAAACGTTTTTACATACAAGAAACACTTTTGAGCTCCTACCTATGTACTTTGTTGGTGCTTTTCTCTGACCTGCAATGGCTACCCTCTTCCTTTAATGATAATAATAGCTGCCATGTATTGAGCACTTTTTGTGTCTGCTAAGTGCTCTATATGCATTCTCATGTAATCTTCACAATAACTGCATTTTAAAAATGAGGACACAGGCTTGGAGAGGGTGTGTTTTGCTTATGATTGAACAGCAGGCAAGTGACAGAGCAAGAATGTGAACTCAGTTTGACTCCAGAGCTTACTCAGAACCACTGTGGTATGTGTATTGTTTGTGGGTGAATGTTTCACTTTATTCCTAATTTAAATACATTTTTCTTTAAAAATATTTTATTATAAAAGTTTTCAGACAGGTACAAAAGTAGAGAGAATAGTGTAATGAACACTACATACTCATCACCCAGCTTCAACAATTATTCACATATGGCAGTGTGCTTTATCAATACCCTTACTCTTTTGTCAAATCCTTCCTTACTATTTCAAGACAAACCCCAGACATATCTCATTCATAAATATTGTGTTACATATACTTAAAAGATAAGGGCTCTTTTGAAAATAATCAAAATATCATTATCATACCTAAAAGCGAGATAACTCCCATTCCTCATAAATATGTCCTATCAATATCTTTAAATTGTTTGGATTCTGTGATTCCTGTTGTGATTTCTTTTGTGTTGTGTTTTTAAGGTGGAACTTAACTTCTTGTGGAACAAGTGTTGCCAGCTCAGAATGCAGTGAGGAGCTGTTTTCATCAGTTTCTGTTGGAGATCAAGATGATTGCTATTCCCTGTTAGATGATCAAGACTTCACTTCTTTTGATTTATTCCCTGAGGGGAGTGTCTGCAGTGATGTGTCTTCTTCTATTAGCACATACTGGGATTGGTCGGATAGTGAGTTTGAATGGCAGGTAGGTTTTTGTTTTCTTATATTGTGATCATTACTCCCTAAGTAGAAGTATGAATTTCTATTTTGATATTTTCATCTCTACCGCAAAGCAAATTTCTCCAGTGTTTATCCTGTCCTGCAGATTCTCTGACAACATTGAGAATTAGATGGAATGTGCATTCTTTATTTTTGTTAGTGTACCTTTTAGGCTTCTGATGCTATAGATACCTTTTTGAAGATTTTCATGTAACTTAATATTTGTATAATGAATGTTGTTATCCTTACGTATCATCAGTACCTTTCTATGCTTGAATTTAAGTGAATTTACTCTCCCTGCATTATAATAAATAGCCTTTGTGTTCTTATAGGCACAGTATCCTTATATCAGGGTCATTATATATCTAGGATCACAAACCACTATTATCTTTTTTTTTAAAGATTTTTATTGGGTAATTGGGGGAAGGGGAACAGACAAGTTGCTATCCTTTTGTTCTTCAGTCTAGTTGTGGAGGACGTTGCTTCAATGGCCCAAATTGGCACCATCATTGGGCTCTTCCCGGGAGAGGCAGATCAGTCGCCGGCTTCTGGACGGCCGCTCACAGCAGCTGCTGGCCGCTCACGCTGGCTGCTGGCTACACACGGTANCTTTCCCCAATTCCCCAGCACTGTTCCCATCCCCCCAATTCCCCAATAAAAATCTTTAAAAAAAAAAAAAAAGAAAAAAACTGGACTTAATGAAGGATGGGAAACAACCTAATAATAGGTGAATAATGCTTTCCTTCAGGAAGTCATTATTTCAGTGCCTTATCAGTATCGGATATACTAAATTATTATCTTAAGGATTAATTCCCTAGGCTACTGTCAAAGCAATGAAGATTATCTCATTACTGGATAAAGCTAGTGGAAATTTATAAAGAAAGCAGATTTGTAGATTTTAAGAACAAAAAAAGAAAAAATTATAATCCTGCAACAAATACTGCAGATAAAATATTCATATCCTTAATGCATAAAGAACTCTTACAGAAAAATGCTGTAGTGAAATAGCTAATATTTTTAATTTTGATCTTGCTAGTAATCAAATATTTAAAAATTGATGTAAAAATGTTTCTTTCCCATGAGGTAAAATTTTTTTAAGATTTTATTGAGGAATTGGGGGAAGGGGACAGTTTTGGGGAATTGGGGGAGGGGAATAGCCAAGATGTTGTCCTTCAATCTTAGTTGCGGAGGGCGCAGCTAGCTCAGCTCCAAGTCCAGTTGCGCCACTCAGCTCAAGGTGCTGTGTTCAATTAGTTGTGGATGGGTGTAGCCACCATCCCATGTGGGAGTCGAACCAGTAACCTTGTAATTAAGAGCGCACGCTCTATCCACTGAGCCATCCCAGTGGCAGCTCAGCTCAAGGTGCCGAATTCAGTCTTAGTTGTGGGTGGGCGTAGCCACCTTCCCATGTGGGAGTTGAACTGGCAGCCTTGTTGTTAAGAGCGCTCCCTCTATCCCCTGAGCTACTCAGGCGGCAGCTCAGTTCAAGGTGCCGAGTTCAGTCTTTAGTTGCAGGCAGGCATAGCCCACCATCTCAAACAGGCAACCTTGTTGTTAGGAGCACATGCTCTCACCAGCTGAGCCATCCTGCCACCTGTTGGCAGCTCAGTTTTTGCGCAGCTCACTGGCCCATGTGGGAATCGAACCGACGACTCTGTTGCTCAGAGCTTGCACTCTTGAGCAAGCTCTTAATCAACTGAGCCATTTGGCTGGCCCTGAGGTAAAATTTTTTTTTTTAAAGATTTTTATTGGGCGAATTGGGGGAATGGGAACAGTGCTGGGGAATTGGGGGAAGGGGAACAGACAAGTTGCTGTTGTCTTGTTCTTCAATCTAGTTGTGGAGGATGTTGCTTCACTGGCCCAAGTTGGCACCATCATTGCGCTCTTCCCGGGTGAGGCAGATCAGTCGCCAG